TAAAGGGCCTTGGCTCTGCAGGGGCTGAGTAGCATCGCATTCTCAGCCCTGTACTAAAACACCTGTCTGACTGACAGAATCTTAGTGGGGCCCCAAACCTCTTGAGCACTGCCACCCCCAAAAAATATGTATCAAATCATACACACACATGTACACACACACACACACATGTTTCCAATGCTCCATAGCTATTCTATTAGCCATTCTGTAGCTGGAGTAAGCTATAGGTCATGCTACACCATGGTCAGACCTAGAGAGGACTATGCTTCAAAAAAGACAGCCACTACGTGGGCCCACATGCTACGAGATCCCATTAATAGGAGGAGTCTAGACTGGGTGCGTCTAGAGACATAAAGAGACAAGTGTCTTTGCTCTTTCCTGTAGCCAGAGGAAGCAGGGAGCTAAGGGTAAGGGCAAAGGAATGGGGGATACCTGTGCCCCTTCTTTTTTTGGCTTTTTGGGTCACACCTGGAAATATTCAGGGGTTACTCCTGGCTCTGCATTCAGAAATTAATCCTGTCAGTGCTTAGGGGACAATATGGGATGTCAGGGATTGAACCTAGTTGGCCATGTGCAAGGCAAACACCCTCCCTGCTGTACTATCGCTCCGGCCTCTGCACCCCTTCTTCTTTAGCTCTAAAACCAATTGTGGGGATGGATGTGCATTTCATGAATGTACTAAAAGTCATTTCATTGTAAACTTGAAATGAGCAAGTACATAATATTTCAAGACATATGTTTTTCTTAAGAAAGAAAATGAGGATTAAGACCATGATAGTTACTGGCCATGATTTTTGAATACCATGTTGAAGATCCACACCAGAGTAATGAGATAAGAACAATATACAAAGATATAAGGAATAAGGTAGCCCTGTAGCACTGTCCTCCCCTTGTTCATCAATTTGCTTGAGCAGGTACCAGTAATGTCTCCATTGTGAGACTGAGACCAGAGTGATAGTACAGTGGGGAGGGTGTTTGCCTTGCACATGGTCAACCCGGTGTCGATCTTCGACATCCCCTATAGTCCCCTGAGTACTGCCAGGGATAAGGTAAGGAAATAAAAAGTATCCCTATAGAACTCCCAGAAGACTTCACAGAATTATGATCATTTTTTGTGTTATCAAGATTGTTGAGTGTAAGATCAGTATGCACAGAAAATAAATCAAATTTATGCTACTTACAAATAGTGAGAAAGTACAACTTTTTAAAAGGGACTTTTTACAATGGCAATGAAAATATGTAGCTAGACACATAAAAATGGGTTTGAATTCTTTATTAAGAATGATTAAGTTCTACTAAAAGATAGTCCAAGAGGAACATTCCAAGGGGAGACCTGTCTGGACTTCAGTCTAAAAGGCAGGCTGGGGGGCTGGAGCGATAGCACAGTAGGTAGTGCGTTTGCCTTGCATGAGGCAGACCTGGGTTTGATTCCTCTGCCCCTCTCAGAGAGCCCAGCAAGCTACCAAGAGTATCTTGCCCACACAGCAAAGCCTGGAAAGCTACCTGTGATATATTCAATATGCCAAATACAGTAACAACAAGTCTCACGATGGAGACGTTACTGGGCCCGCTCGAGCAAATCAAAAAACAGGAGGACAGTGCTACAGTGCTACAGTGCTACCTATTTACATACAGATACAGATATATGAATATATCCCTGTCTCGGACCCTGGTTAAAATGCAAAATTTTGAAATTCTTAATTCTCCTGGGATGTGAGTTTATGTGGCCATTTTAGCCCTAACCATGGGGATCTGGAGACGTGGAAAGTAGAACAATTCCAATGTTCCTCGTTCTACTCCCCTACGCCTGCTTGGCTCAAAAACAAAGGCTGAAACACTCCGGGTGCATGTGGCTCCTTCCATGCCTGCACCAGACTCCCCCAGTCTCTACTGTCTCCTGGTGTCTCTGCTCACAGGTCCAGGATAACCTTCCTCCCCAGCGAGCTGCGTTTATGCTGTCCCACTCACCCAACTCCTGCCAGTCAAAGGAGCCACGTTCCAGAGCCCTTCTGGCACCATCGCAGAGCACTGCACTGAAGCTACTCACCCAACATGACACCCCACCCTCTGCCCCTTCTTCCCCAGCTCCCCCCATGCCAGTGGATCCACTTCTCAATGTGCACACACACAGACACACACACTCAACCATTTCTGAAGTATCTAATCTTTATATGCCAGGTGCCATATTTTTTTTGGGGGGGGGCATGGGGATAGGAGATTGGGAGACACACCCAGTGATGCTCAAGTGCTCACGGATAGCTCCTGGCTCTACACTCAGTAATCACCCAGGGTGGGCTTGGGAGAACCATACAGGAATGCCAGTAATTGAAATCTGGTCGGCTGTATGCAAGGCAAATGCCTTACTTTGATAATACCTCGCTGTACTATCTCTCTGGTCCCTCAACTATTTCTGCAATGTCTAAGCTTTATGTGTTAGGCACTTTATTCGAGTTTGTTTATTTATTTATTTATTTTGGTTTGGGGGGACTCGTACCTGGTGGTGCTCAGAGCTTAATCATGGCTCTGTGCTCAGGGATCATTCCTGGTGATTCTCAAGGGACCTAGTGGGGTACTAGGGATCAAACCCAGTTAGCCACATTGCAAGCAAGTGACCTACCACTGTACTATCTCTCCAACCTCCTAGTACCATATTTGGAACTTGGGACATGGCAGGGATCCACACAGATCTACACAGAGAGAATCAAGCCTAGCTCAGGGCTTCTCAGCATGGACACTTAGGGCTGGATGACACTTGGCTGTAGGAGCACAGGCTGCATCCCAAGCTCCTTAGCTGCACATCTCTTTCCACAAATGGCCAGTAACACCCTCCTCTCTGCATTGTGACAGCTAAAATTATTAGGGTGCCACGGTGGAACCCAGGTCAAATACATTCAAGGCAAGTGCCTTAACCCCTGTACCATCCCTCTGGTCCCTTCCTTCCTTTCTTCTGGGTGTATTTTTGGGTCACACTCAGAGGCACTCAGGGGCAACTCACAGCTCCGTGCTCAGGAATGGCTCCTGGCAGTGCTTTGGGGACCATGTGGTGCTGGAGATTGAATCCAGGCCTCCAGCACGCAAAATGTGTGCTCAGCCAGTTAAGTGATCTCTCTAACATCATCATTTCTTCATGGACATCATGATACCCCTTACCCTGACCCCCAAGATCCAGCATCAATCAGTTTGAACAGACCAAGTCTCCGGAGCAAAGTCTTTGAGGCAGTGTCTGAGATTTAGTGGTGCTTCTCTGCAAGGAACGGTGGGAAGCCACTGGTATATTGGCTCCATCTGGGGCTCAGGGGCTCATCTGCTCGAATCCATCCACCCAAAACTACCCACAGTCCGGAGCTGAGCTAGACTAGGTCATGGGCACACTCCTGCCACTGACAAATGGAAGAGAACAACAGAGGTGGGAACCCAAAGACACCCTGCCGAGGGCAAGTTGCAGCAGACCCTTTGGGGTACAGCTGTCCTTGCTGCACCCCAGGAAGGACCTGAATAAGAAAAGAGGAAGAAGCCAAGCTCCAGCACAGCGGGAGATGCTCAGAAACACAACCAGCCTGGGCAGAGGGCTGTGCTGCCTTCACCAAGCAGGGCAGAAGCCCCCAGGGAAGGTGGGAGAGTGGCCAGCTCCAATCTGTGCCCAGAGCAGAGGCCAAGGAGCAAAAGTGACCCAGTGACTTGGCTGTCCAGCTATGAAGGAGGCCCTGGCACCCCCTACCTCTGTGCAGAGACCTGTAGGGACCCCCAGGACAAAAACAAACATACAGTCTTGACCATGGGGAAGTCTCAAGGGGGTGGGGGGTCCAAAAGAAGGCTCTGCTCTAGAACGCCCCTCCTTCCCTACCCCAGGGACAGAGTCTCACTAGGCACATCTGCTCAGCCAAGGGCACACTGGGGGACTGGGCTGTGAATCCCTCCCACTGCTCCTTCTCTTGGAGGGGCATTGCAGGATGAGGGCCATAGCAGGGAGGGCGAACTCCTGCAGCTGCGGCCCCCCACCCCCGGCTTTGGGCTAAGGACGGGACTCCCTGAGGTTGGGGGATCAGGGGACAGTCACAGATCTGGGTCTGCAAACACTCACCTTCCTCTCTTAGAAGATCAGCCAGCAGGAGAAGGACAGATACAGATGGATGCACAGGGATCTCTCTCACATGCCGGATACAAAGAAACACAGCAGGGGAATAACTAATGGCCAAAGGCAACAGAATGGGACACCTGGTCTAGGACACTGATGGAGCTTACCAAGACCGGGGAGCACGGGGTGCTGGAACATTGTATACATGAAATCCTATGGTGAACAGTAGTGTGAATCATGGGGCCTCAAATTTTTACATTTTTTACTTAAAAAAATTAATTTGCCATCCTTGTCCCATGATCCAGGCCCACTGTGGCCCCTATGAGCCTCCTGCCAGGCGGTGGTATGTGTGTGTGTGTGTGCGCGTGTGTATGCACTTGGAGTGTTTATGCGTTTGCATATGTATGCATATGTGCTAGGTGTGTGTGCATGCACTTCCCACCCCACGCCCAAGGGTCCACACAAAGTTCAATTCTGGTGAAGTAATGCTAACGGGTGTGGAGCCTCGAACCCCTAAGCCTTTCCTTCAACCAAATTACCCCAAGCACAGTAGAACTGGGGGACACCTGCCTCACCCCTTTGGATGCTTGCGGCACTCAGAAGGATTTATCGGCAGCCTGGCCACTCGGGGCTGCACGCTGTATCCCGCTCCATCCCTGCGCCCCCCACCCCCACCCCGCCACACACACACACACACACACACACACACACACACACGAACACACACCGTTCCTCCGCAGAACAAAGTTGCGGGCCCCTCTGACCCGCGCCGGGCACGCGCTCCGCAGCTCGGCGCGCGGGGCCCGGGGCTCAGCGCTCAGCGCACACAGGCCGGCGGCCCCTCGGGCTGCGGGCGCTGCGGCGGGCCCCGGGGAGGCGGGGGGGCCCTCCGCGAGAGCCGCACCCGCGCCCCGCACTTTCTCACCTCCTGATGTAGTTCCTGCCGTACAGGAACTGCTGCAGCAAGGTCACCAGCGCGAAGGCGCAGATGAAGATGAAGAGCAAAGTTCGGCTCCCCAGCAGGTCGCGGTTGGCCGAGGGATCGGCGTAGCGCATCCTGGCGGCCGCCCGTGCGCGCCGAGGCGCAGCGGCCGCCAGGCGCCGGGGGGTCCCCGCAATCCCGCGCGGGGCCGCGCTGCCCACCGGGTGCCTGTCCACGCGTTCAGGCGGGAGCGGGGGCGCTCGGCGGGGCAAAGTTTCCGGCGGGCGCGGCTGGCCCCGGACGCATCGGAGCGGTGCGGAGGGCAGGGCGGGCGTGTGGGGCGCTCGGGCCGCGGCCCCCCGGGCCTGGGCTCCCGATGCCTCGACCTCGGCGCGCCAGTGCCCGGCCGCCGCGATCTCCCTGCGGAGCAGCTACGCCAGGTGCGACGAGCCCGGGGCGGCCCCTCCTGCAGCCGCCGCGGCCAATGGGGAGCGGGGGAGCCCGAGCGCCGCGCGCCGCCCCCTGTGCCCCGGCTCGGGCTTCGCGGGCATCCGGCCGGGCCGGCACAGCGCGACCCCCGCGCCCAGGTGGGCCTGCGCCCTCGGGGTGGCACGTACGGGGCGCCCACCCCGCTCCCGGGCAGCCGGGCCGGGAGCAGGCGGGCGGTGGCGCGGGGGAGGGGTGGTGCGCAAAATGCCGGGTTCGCGTAGTGGAATGAAAAAAAAAGGAAGGGGGAAGAGGAGGAGGAGGGTTGAGGGGCTATGCAGGGAGGGGACGCCCCGCGCGGGGGGCTAAGTGACTCGCCCGGTTTGCTGCCCCCGGGAAGCCGGAGCAAGGTCAGCCCGGCGGCCGGTCAAGGACGGTGCGGGCGGTGTCCGCATGCTGATGGCCAGCGAGCTGGCCCGCCCGCGCTCCGGGGGCTCAGATCCGGTCGGGAGGAAATTCTGGGGGCTTTGCCCGCCTCCCCCCACCCCGAGTCCCAGGCCTCCTTCTCCTTCCCCGCTCCCAAGCTGCGGTTCATGGCTGCTCATCAGAAACTCAGGCGGTCTCCTTGGAAGACCTCGTGGATTTGAAGTGGGGCAACTGGCTACCTTGGGATCCCACCGCCCACCCCCCCGCCAAAGGGGTCTGGGAAGGGCTGTGCTTCAGAACGTGCACGCCGGCTCCAGCAGCACTGACATAGCAACCAGGGTGTTCCCAAGACAGAAGTGTGAACTTTTACATGCTCTCCCCCGCACCCTCCCACCCCGACGGCCACCACCAGCGGACCCAGGCTGCATCCCCTCGGAGTCCTCTTCCCAGGGACCATCCCACCAGTATAAGGGAGGGCTGAGGGTCACACGGGAGAGAACACCGGAACTTGTCACAAATTCGGAAGGGATAGAGCCAGACTCTGACCTTGGTATTCAGCAGTTTTCCTCCTCAGACTGGGAAAACGACCAAAGAACCACCACGGTAGCTCATCATTGACTGTGCCTCACCCTGCCCCCCATCACTGGAATCCCTGCCAACAGGCAAGGTGAGCATGGAGGCTGAGGAATTGGTGCATCTAAGGACACCTATGAGCGGGGCAGGAGAGAGGTCAGCGGGTAAAGTACTTACCTTGCACTGGCCAACTCGGGTTAGTATTCTGAGCATCACATGTGGTCCCCTAAGCACCGCCCAAACACACCTCTGCCCCAAATAATAAAATCTCTAAGAGCAAAACAAATAGCTGGGTGATGGAGGCGCTTGTCTTGCACGTGGCCCACCATGGGTATCACAAATGGTCCACCATCCCTGCGAGGAGCATTCCCTTGTGCACAGAGACAGGAGTAAGCCCTGAGCAACACTGGGTGTGACCCAAACACACACACACACACACACACACACACACACACACACACATGGCTTGAATGTGGTTGAATGTTTAACTAGTTAAAGGAAAAACACATGGGGCTGGAGTGATAGCACAGTGGGTAGGGACTTTGCCTTGCATGCGGCCGGTCCAGGTGAGTTCGATTCCCAGCATTCCATATGGTTTCCTGAGCACCACCAGGGGTAATTCCTGAGTGCAGAGCCAGGAGTAACCCCTGTGCATCGCCAGGTGTGAGCCAAAAAGCAAAAAAAAAAGGCCTTTTTCCCTCTGGACAGCAAGACGGCGGCCGCCTCGGAGCTTTTTGGAAAGCCAGGTATGAGCCAGTCGTAACGGGGGCGACTGAAACCTCATGGGAAGGGGGGGTGTTCCGGGCTCGTCTTCACACCCTACCGAGGTCACGAGTTGTCCCCGACGAGCGGCTCTCTGGCACAGGCATGGCTCTAGAGCCATAGAAACCAGTCTCATAATTATCTGACTCTCGGCAGAAATACTTCCAGGCTTAATAAGTAAAATATCAGAAATCCAAAATCACGCGGCCGCTGTTGCAGCCACGCATCATCATTTGATTCTTGTAACCAGGTATAGAAACAAATTATTTCAGAATGTCTTTTCAACAGGTCTGATTTGGGGGTGCATATTTTGTCAAAACAATGAATCTAATCAAAGTACATAGAGTGTTAACTAGAATTCATCTGCCTCACAGGCACTGGGAGGGTTGGGAGGGAGGTATATTGGGGTTCTTCTTGGTGAAAAATAAGTACTGGTGAAGGGAAATGTGTGTGATGATTGCATGACCGAGACTTAAACCTGAAAGCTTTGTAACTTTTCCCACAGTGATTCTATAAATTAATAAATTTTAAAAAAATAAAAATAAAAAAGTAACACGTAAAAAAAAAAAGAAAAACGTAGTTAGGTGGCGAAGATCGAAACAGTCCCTAGCTTGGACAGTGCTTGGGCACCAGCGAGCACTGGACTTTGTGAGTAAGGCTCTCCTGGCCTCTGGCTAGCCCATTCATTTCTCAGTGGGAGTGAAACTTGTGGCCCAGGATCACTCCCAAATCTCCAGAATCTCAGACTTGCTCTTCCTCCCTCACAGCAGGGTGGGACTGTGACCTTGCCCCACCCCACACTTGCTGTCTTTCAATGTTTCATGTTTTTTTAACAAGGACACTTTGCCCATTTCGTGGCCCTGGCTCCCTGGGATGATGAAGCGATCAGGATTGAGTTCATGGAGTGGCACTATTTCTTCTGGTTGGTTCTCCGCCACAAAGTTCCTGAGGACCATTGCCATGACTCAAGGCTATCTGGAGCCACATGCTATTGGAAAATACAAAACTTAGCACTTTTTAAAATTAGTCTTTTTAGGGGCTGGAGCACAGTGGGTAGAGCACAGTGGGTAGGGCATTTGCTTTGCACGTGGCCGACCCAGATTCGATTCCCAGCATCCCATATGGTCCCCTGAGCACGGCCAGGGGTAATTTCTGAGTGCAGAGCCAGGAGTAAGCCCTGAGCAGTGCCGGGTGTGACCCAAGAAGCAGAAAAAAGAAGTCTTTTTATTTTACTTTTTTTTTTAAAGCAATGTTTGGCCTGGGGGTGGATAGAGAGCACACACAGCCATGTTCAGGGCTCACTCCTGACTCTGTGTTCAGTGATCACTTGTTGTGGGACCTATGAGGTGGCAGGCATTCAAACCTGCATCAGATGCATGCAAAGCAAGCCCCCGTCTGCAATTATTTTTCAGATGTGCAGTGTGCAGAGTTTCCATATGTTGAACACATCCATATCACCAAGACACGAAAATATGCTGCAATGTGGAAGGATCTGGAAGGCATCATGTCAGGCGAAATCATTCAGAGGGAGAAGAACTAATAGCAGAGAACTCACTGTCTGGGGACAGAGACAAAACAAGCGACTCCACAGTATTCAATGATGACAATGACAAAATTGAGATTACCCAGCAGAGGGGGAACAGAGTTGAGGAAATGAAGAGGCACTGGCGGAGAGTCTGGGGCACCTTGGTGGTGGTGGTGGGGTGCAGTAACTATATCTCAAGACTATAACCATTAGGGGCTGGAGCAATAACACAGCAGGTAGAGTTCTTGCCTTTCATTCAGTGGACCCAGGTTTAATCCCCAGCATCCCGTATGACCCCCTGAGCACCTCCAGGAGTAACTCCTGAGTGCAGAGCCAGGAGTAAGCATTTTGCCAGGTGTGGCCCCAAAACAAAAAACAAAACAAAAACTATAGGTGTTAAAATTGTTATAAACATGTGACCTTAACTACAACAATAACTTTTAAAAAGAATGTAAATACGTGCAAGTTGTAAGGAATGAGGAAATTATGTAACTTGCTGCAACACAGATGGAATTAGAAGATACTAAGTTAAGTGCAGTCAGAAGAAGGACAAACACAGGATGCTCTCACTTATATATGGTATACAGTGTAATCGGATGAGGAGATGCAATATTTTAAAGGTAGGATGCCTAGATCACCCTTGGCCCCAATAGGGAGTATAGGGAGGGGGACAGAGATTGGAGAAATTGAGGGGAATGAAGAGCTAGACAGGAAGCGAAGGGGAGCAGGTGTTGTAGGGAGTGGTACAGCTAAACATCCAACCACAGAGTCCTCAACACTGTAAACAAGAGATCCAACCTTCAACAATCAAACTTTAAAAAAAAAATCTGTCAAGGTGTTAGATTGGGGGCAATGGGGAGAGGAAACTGGGGACAATGGTGGAGGAAAGATGACACTGGTGGCAGGATCAGTGCTGGAACTTACTATGTCTAAAACTCAACTTGAAATAACTTCCTAAATCATGATGCTTTTCTTTTCTTTTTTGGGCCACACCCAGCGATGCTCAGGGGTTACTCCTGGCTCTGCGCTCAGGAATTACTCCTGGTGGTGCTTGGGAGACCATATTGGATGCTGGGGCTCGAACCCGGGTCAGTGGTGTGCAAAGCAAATGCCCTATCCGCTGTACTATCTCTCTGGCTACAAATCACGATGCCTTAATAACTTCTTTTTTAAAGGATGCATAGAAAAAATGAACAGCATGCAAAAGAAATAAACATATTCTTGGCCCCATCCCCAGGAGCCCCCTTCCTGCCCTTTCCCAGGTACTATTGACTCGAGAGAGAAAAGCCAATGTTTGCTTTCCTGCTCCCACAATTGCTACTTTCTTGGCCAGCAGTTTTCTTAGAGAGGCTGGAGGGGACAGAGGGAGAGTAGCTGGAATGCAGGTGACCCCTCGTCCCCCTCCCATCCCATTCTTACATTTGATACAAAATGGTGTGATATGTCCAATGCTCTCGGGGTCTGGTTTTTCTTATTTTAGGTTTTGGGGTCACATCCGGCGATGCTCAGAGCATTACTCCTGGCTCTGTGCTCAGATATTATTCCTGAAGATGCTTGGGGGGGGGGGATGTTATGGAGAGGCAGGGATCAGCTTGTGCAAGGCAAGCATCCTGCCCTCTGTACTATCTCTCCAGCCCCAAGGGGTCTGACTCCTGATTTCCATGATCATGAGGCTTCCCTGTGCTGCTGGACATGGCAAGCAAACTGCTAGGATGGCCCCAAAGGTCTTCAAGCTCTCCTGTGCAAGCACTGTCTACCAGGGGACTCAGCATCATGTCTGTTCTAGGGCCACATCAGAGGAAGGTGGCCGGCTGAGTGGAGGTCCAAGGCTGTCAGATAGGGAGCTTGCTTCTCCAGGGGCCTCTT